TATAAGGGTTTACCGTGCGCAGCACGCGGAGAGGTTCTTACTCGTATACTTTACGGCCGTCGACTGCTGTAATATATATATATGCACGTACATATACATTGCTGTCTCGGTGGAGAGCGTATTACGCCCGAGTAATAATCATTAACCTAACTGTTCGCGGTTGAATGTATTATCATTATCATTATTATTATTATTATTATTGCTATTATGATAACACTCGTACAGTCGTGTACACTACAAGACCAACTTTGGTTTGAGACGAGAAAACGCAATCGTGTACACGAATCGTATTGCGTACGGGCACGAACCTCTTGGACCGGCGGACATCGGTCCGGAAAGTTTGGCAGATTTTACGATTAGTTTCGCGGTCGACGTGGTCGAAGGCAATGTGAAGCGCATGAGGTCGCAGCTGTCGACCAGCGTCCGGGCCGGCCATAACCTAACTGGACCTGCGACGACGAACGGGAAACCGCGACGAAGAGCCCGGGACCAGGTTGACGGCATGGTAAGGGACCGAGTGTGACAATCGACGTGCACGCGAAGCGATACGTACACCATGGTCGGCAGGTCGAGGGAGGGTTACGGTTTTTCTGGAACAAAAGTCAATTAAAAACCGTTCCCGTCGTTACGAGGGTACGAGGCCGCGCGCGGCCTCATCTCAATCGTGTACAACAACAGCGCAATACAAGTATATACGTGCAGCGCGGCGGTGCGGTACACGGGGACGGAATTACTGAAGGCGCCGGACCGGCGGCGCACTTTGGCCTCAGCCGGATTACTTTTCTTTTCTTATTCGTACGTACGTATATATATATATATATATATATACATTTATATACGTATATATCTCGTCGGTTTTTTTTTTTTTTTTTTGTTGCCCCTCACATTTTCTCTACTCTTCACTTATTATTTTCTCTCCTTTCAAACGGAAAAAGGTTCTCTCGCTTTCTCCTATTTCTTTTTTTTCCTTTATTTTCTTTTCTTTTTTTTCTCTTTTCTCTTTTTTTTTTACCATAAGAAACGGACAAAGTATTATTCAGCGCATAAACTTGTTGGATTCGCACCCACACGCATACAAAACACAACACCACATCGATGTCCTCTATACACACCATACACACATTATATTTCACGCGCGCGCGCGCCAACTTTTGATTAAAAACTTTCGGGATCTTCTTTTCTTTTTTTTTATTGCTCTAAAACACGATACAAGTAAAAGAGTTGAACGCGGACAACGAGAAGGGCCTCGAGGGCGTATTATTTTAGCGGGAAAAACTTTATGGAGTAAGGAGTATACGGAGGTCAAACGAATCGGTCGGGAGGTGATTTATAATGACAGTTGTAAAGTTAATTTAAGTTCATATTCCAGTCAAAGAAGACGTAATTATAATACTTCTTTTTTAAAGTGAACAACCGTTAACCATCCTTTATTAGATTAAATTAAAAAAAAAAAAAGTTTATATTTTAATAACAGGCTCGGTGGTTAATATTTATTAGCCTTTATTATAATTTGTTTTCAAACGTTATGACCCTTTTATCAGTGAGAATTATATGTACGTGCATTTAAGTAAGCACTTACTTACAACTATATTTTACATTTTTTTTTTAATACCATCTCTTTAAATAAATTATTTTAATCGTTATATGAATGGATGTTTTTTTACACTGCCGGATTTATCACGACTAATAGTAGTACGGCAGGATCATTAAAAAAATTATTTAATTACTTAAGTCATCATTGTTAACGTTACAACCAGTCAAGCTCAATTTGCTTGGTAAAATTTAAACTAATAACGGCCGTCGACGAGGATGGCCACCACCCAAACGTATATATGGCAGCGATGTCATGTTTAATATCAATCACGTGAATACATTATAATGCAAGACCGTCACACTATCATCAATGTAAAATTTGATAAGATATTTTATTATATATATTTTTTTTTTTTTGAAATTCTTCCAAAATCAAAATTAACAATCGAAACGGGGATGTTTGGAGTTGACGAATGATAATAACAGGCAAATAGGTTTCGAACAGATGACATGGATTATATCAATTTCCACGTGAAAATCGCACGCGCCCGTCCTTTAAGTGTGAGCGTTTATGACCATAACTGTCCTCGACGTAACACGCATAAACTAATAATAGTGGAGTCGCGCAGAAAAAGAGCGTTTGGCACAATTACAAAACCGTAAAAATAAGAAGAAAAAATAATCATCAAGCGCTTTGCCGCACCTTATTAGTGCGGCGATAGAGAAGAACGAACGTCTATCGTGAACAAGGAGTAGTAATAGAAAAAGACTATTGCCAGAAAGTTCTACAGATCGCGGCGCTCGTAAATATCCGACCGGCCCATTCTAGCGCCGTGGACATGAAATATTCAAACATAACCAGTTGCGATATATTATATTATACATTATACGTACAGTGCATACTAGATGGTGTTGTGTACGGCGCTGTTAAACTCGGCAGCACAAATAATATATATGTATGCTTTTATCATACGTATATTCCGATACACAAATATAATCACTCAATCTTAACTGCAAATGGAAGAAGACACCCTTCTATTACGGCCATTTGTTTAGCGTTTTTATTGTCTAAACGCAATATATTTATATATATACGATACACAGTGCATGCAGTATATACGTCGCGTCTTCGCGTCGCAGTACTGCTCTCTCGGTGCGCGAAAAATTATTGGCCAGGCCATGCCAAAAACCGGAACGATATTGTCCGGCGTGGAGGGATCGGTGCCGATAACGGCGACGGCAAGGACGAGATACAAAAAATCTAGAAAAAAAAACCAATAAAGGCAAACACGACGGAAAGAGAATACGCCTACCATCGCGGGCGCGCATTTCGCGTTTGGCAAAGACTGATGCGACGACCGTTGCAGTCTGGACTCGTTCGGACCAATAAAAATGATTTACGAAATCGGGACGAACGGTTATAAAATGCGACCTTTTGGCAGAGCTCTTGTGATCCGGAAACTCTGACTAAAAGCCGGTCCGCGACGCGGGGGCCTTAAAAATTAATTTTCACCCTCCTCTGCCCACGCAGCACACGCTCCGTATACACGCCGTACGGCACACTGCAGGACAACCAGGACGATTTCCTGCGTCTATCTATCATTGGTGCGCGCGTATAGAGACGCGTACGAGAGACTACAATACATGTATAGGGGTTTTATCTGCTGATTCACCTCCGGTTACCGTTCCGCAGGCGAACAATCGCGCGAAGGGGATCGTTAAGCACAGAAGCCAACCCCTAAATATACACACGCACACTGACACCGCACCACACGCAGTCTAAGTGTTCCCTAGATTGTTTTGGCCGAGATTGACCGACTGGGTTGCTCCCGTAACAAGGTTCGACGAGTGGGCAACGGTAATGATCCTATTTTACAACGCAGTCCTCGCGCTAACCCAAAATGTTTACACGCAAGACGCCACGACGCATCGTTGTCGATGTCGTTGTTGTTGTTCGCTGGCCCAACAGAGGGTCGCGATGACCGCAACACGGTTCGAAAACGGTTTCAAACGTGTACCGTGTGTAACGGATGTGTCCCCGGGGACATTTCTCGTCGCGCTCACCGCCAAATCTACACCGGAGATTTTGATTAAAAGTGTATGACGGAAAGTATATAAAAATTTGCTGGCACAATACGAGTATGCGTATACACACATACACACACACATATATATTACGTAAAACGCCCGCCGCTGTTTTACGCCCGCCGCTATTTTTATATTCGATAAGAAAATTAAATAATAAAAAGGAAAAAGAAAACGATGCGAAAATGTTTAGCGTTGCTGTACGGCCGATTCCTGGAGTTTGTACTACCCGTAAAAAAAGAACGTATTTATTTATTTATTTATTTTTTTTTTTTTACTATCGGCAATAAAATGTGTTGGACGATAATCTTGCTGGAGAAGTCAAATCGCCGTGCGGTCGCGCGTTTATTTTTATGACGTCATCTTTGTCATTGGGGCCTAATGGAAAATTGGGCGTGGTATTTTTTTCCCCGATATATTGTATTATACACTACGACGACGACGACGACAATAATAATATAATAACGGGCAAGCGTAGCTGTATGCCGCCAAAGGCGATATGATGGTTATACTTGGATGGGTCACCACCACTGTTATACACTCGCAGATTATTACATTTTGTAGTTCACCTCAATCCGAAGAGATTATATCCTTGTGCAGCGTTTATACTGTTCGGGGCACAAATGATTGGATTGTTTTTATTAAATCTCTTACGAAATTATATTTGATATCAACTGAAAACGTGTTTCATTTTTACGTTTGTATATACATGTATATGTATAAGAAAAATGGGTGTTTTTCATTTTAGCATTAGGTTAAACTCTGCAGCATAAAAAACTATATGCTAGTATTAAAACTAAATAGTTTGCTAACGAAATATTGTCAACGTTAATTTTTTAGTATTAAAAAATTTCGTGTTGTATTTAATTTTAGTCTTACTAATTTTTGTGCAAACTTTATCGCTACGTAAAACTTTAAATACACACATCAAAAAACTATAGTAAGATTTTACTGAGGAGGCTCCGAAGAGAATTTTTGAGTGGTTTTCATAAGGAAAAATAAACGTTAATCGCTCCGGAACTGTGTTGTCCTTTGTCCTTCGGAACGTCTAAGTACTTCAGTCATTTTATTAATCGGCACTCATTTAAACGTCGACTTTTAATTAGCCGTAAACTTCGGATAAAATGATCCACCTATAGAGGGTATATAAGACAGAAAGAGAACATCCCCCCCCTTTCGGTCTTAAACTTTCTGAAGTATACACTTTGACTTTTGGAGATAATAATTCACTTGGTGAGCACTGACTTTTCCAGAGGGTAAAGAGACTAAAAAACCTTTCACCCGCCGCTTAATTGCTAAGCATTAATATCGAAAGGAGTTTTTTGGAACTATAATTTATAAATTATACGGAATTATTAAACGGTAAAAGCGTAACTCCTTACCTTTGTCGCAGTCTTTTCTTGCCATCTCTCCTTCGTCGTCTCTAACAGCATCTGCACCATCCTCTTCGTCATTAGCTGCCATGTCTTCTTCATCCTCTCTACTCGTCGAATCTTCGTTCGCTGACTAAACATCACAAACATTTAATTTTTAACACTACGTCAAATTCGAATAAAAACAATGAATTCTTTAAAAACAATTTACTGTATAGTTATAATTAAAACCCATATAAATTATAATAAAAAACAATAATAACCCATTGAAGATTCAAATAATTAAAATAAAAAATGTTCAGCCAATAAGTTAGTATTCAAATTTGATAATTAAATTTAATCATTTATGAATATAATTACTCATAATTGTAGAGCGCAGATGTACTTAACCACCTTCCTTAAATTTTAGAAATAATAATTGAACAATTTTAAAATATTTTCAATAACTTTTGGTATAAAACAAAAAAATAAATAAAGTAAAAATAATATATATATATATATATATATATATATATATATATACATTAACAGTATCTATTAGTACAATTAAATGAAATAACAGTATAAAATTACTTTGAGCTAATTACTAATTAAAACAAATAATACAACCTTTACTTTTTAAATCATTATTATGATAGGCACTCAAGCGTTTGATTTTACCAATATATTTCAAACAAAAATAGGTTAAAAAAAAATCATTAAAGAATCAAATAAGTACACTATTTTTTTTGAGAAAAAAAGTTTAAATAATCATAAAATGTTTACATTATAATTTTAAAAACTGGTTCTTCCGTAGTACCTAGTTTCTACAAAATCATACTATATTTTTAATGTTAACTCGATCAAGTAATAAATGTACACAAGTGGTGATACAGGGAAAATAAATCACAATTTTTTCAAAGACTATAAGAAATAAATATATGATTTCATATTTTCCATTATTTAAAGGTAAAAAAATAGGTGTAGATCAATTCACTTATATATAAATCGTAAAGTTGATCTATAAAAATAAACTACTTAACGAAAAGTGTTAAGTAAAAACATCATTAATTTACCCTACATATTTGATTTCAATTTATTTTGAGTGTAATAAATATGTACTTTATTGCTGTTTACAGTTTACTTATTTAAGAACATTATTTTACTTAGGGTCTTTAAGAGGGTTAGGGTGTTATTTCCTGGGTCTTAATAGAAATATTACTTTTACGAGTGTAGTGTAAATATTTTAATGTTAACGGTGATGTTTTTAAAAATCCTGGCATTCCACAAATTATTTACATCATATTTGTATGAAACATGCTGATTATATGTATATACGCTTGATTTAAAACAAATCATGCTGTTTTTTAAAAATGATATTAGATTCAATATCTGTTATTGTTTTTACCAATGACCTAAAGAATATTTCATTTGGACAGTAATGGAATTGAAAATCCATCCAAAACTATTGAATATTACATGATCAATTTTTAGTCTTTTTTCGTTTACCGTGGAAGAATCTTTAGTATCTTCGAGTAGTTGACTGTCTTCGTCGAATCGTTGTTTGGTATTGGTGTCGACTGAGAGCAATGGTTGATGATTGTGGTTGGTGTCTGGGTTGATGATAATTTCGTCATCTTGTTCCGCACATAGAGTCATCTCCTGATAGTGGTCTACGATGTCACAATCGATGTTTTCCACTGTGGAAAATAATAAGAAACATTTCATGAGTATTTGTACATATACACATATATGTGAAAATAAAAGTATAGAAAAACGAAAACTAATCTTTAATCATCCCGAAACACTTTTATAGGTTATTACTCGAAAACGGTTCAGATAAATAGCTCTGATACCCGGTTAGTAGGGGTGACGGCAACGGCGGCGGTCGCAATAAAAAGAAAAAGCGAAATCGTCGTCGTACGCTTTAACTATACGCACATAAATCATATTTTAAATTAGTAACGGAGACGAATGGAGAGGGACTGGAATTTATGAGCCTTTTCATCGCGAGGTCCACCTATTCGGAGGTCCCCCTTCCACTACAGTTGCATCCCGCAGGAGCAGTCCGAAAAACTCTTTTGGTACATTAAGTTAAGTGACCCTCACCACGACGACGACGACGACGACTACAACAACTACCACCGCTATTATAACTATTTCTGCTGCACGGGGCTCATCCGTCGTTTTGGCGACGATATTTCATACACTTTAGTGTGTTTTGTCGTAATAAATAAATACGCATTATATATATTATATACATATGTAGTCGAAACGACAAATTATATTACGACGAGAAAAGAGGAGGCTGTACACACATTTATTGACAGGCCATATCCACGCACATATAAGCAAAGAATAAACAGGACGATGATTTTTCACCAGGCGTAAGAGCATTTTTTTTCCTTCCTTACCGACAATACACCTGGAAATGCCGTTAAGCAATACTTCGGGTGGCGGAGCATTATGCAGTCCGATTACACAACCCCGTCGCACCCCGATAGAACGTTACAATGAACGATATTTTACGGACGTGGTTTGGCCTGCCGGCGATCGGAAGGCACCGGCTACGGCAGAGCGCCGTGTCGTCGTGTACCGATCGCGCGACATGTGCCGCTGATGAGCGCAGTAATTAAGTCCGGTAGGTATTGAAAGGGTTCCCGTTTTGTGCGCGCGATGGCAGGAAACGAGGCCGTGGTCGCGCGGAAGGGCTCCCCGTCGAATTAGCAATCATGTCAATCCATCCGAAACCAATCAACCCCATGCGCCGTTGTTTTTCTTCCCTGCCCCCACGCGACGGCCGTACACATACACGCATACGGCGCTCGCACACTAATGACACATGACACCAGATGGCTTCCCCTTACCCCCGTCCCCATGCCCCCAGGAAATAACCGCTATAATCACATGTATTGCTCTCCGTCTACTCTCTGTCGCCCACTACGCTCGTACATTGCTCAGTGCTCCGCGACCGTTTTTATCCGAACGCAATCTATGCACTACCACCACCGTGGTGACCGTGGTGACCGCGGTAGGGTGAGCGGGGCGTAACCGAGGTTGAGGTTGACGGCCGGAGCGGATACCTTACAAGAGGTCACCTATTTCGGCCCGTCCGGTGACCGCGTCACTCGCATATATCTGTGCTCTTAAGCACGTGTCCGATCGCTACCGAAATCGCGTACGCAGCATAATACACTATTATGCGACGATAGTAACTTTTTCTGTAATATAATTTAATATTATGCATACTGCACGGCATACGCAACCTCCCATATATATATATACGTAAATAGTGCTGCGAGGGCCGAGGAGATGGACGTATATGTAAAAAATATGAAATAAATAAAAAAAGTTCGCGATTTGACATCATTTGATGTGATTTCCACGCAAATACATACACAAAAGTTGTGCGGAGGATTTGACATTAGGTCGGCATTGTGCGCGAGTTAGATTCGGACGCGAATAATAATAATAATAATAAATAGATGTGCGACCGGGTTATGTATATGTGTGTACACGTATATAGACGTGTGGCGGCACCGCCACATATGTATGTTTATACTCGTATATATATAAATATAAGTCGAAAACGCGATTGTCGTCGGCGGGAGGTGAAGGACAGACGAGAGAGGGTCCGACTGCAAAAACTTTCCTTTAGAATATATAAATAAAAAAAAAGGTTAGGGGAAAAAACATCGTTTATTGTGTCAGATTTTTTACGCCCTCGCCGATTGAACTGTACGCACGGAAATAAAAAAAAATAAAAATAAAAATAAAAAGAACAATGTGCGATGTACATACAAATATAGTAATATGTAGAACGGCGAGTATATGTACCTATATGTAAAACCAAATACCGGCGATGGACAATGGCTGACGGCATCAGTCGGTGCGGTATTATTGTGTTTTGGGTGTATATAATTGTGTATGTATACGTATTATGTCACAGTATCGTCGTAATTTCTCGTCTGCGACTTATGCTGCCGCTAAACAACAAAACGTGTGACGCTAATCGTGCGGGATGAGCGTGAACAAAAAATTAAAAGTTAAAAATAAAAACATGCGCCCGCGCACAAATTAAGTCTCACCCCCCCCCCCCCCCCCCCCCCCCCCCCCCCGCACTAGCCCCCCCCCCCCCCCCCCCCCCGGTGAAAAATTGCTCCATCGGAGTAGAATAACCGTTTGTTTCATTTTCGTTTTTTTTGTTTTCGAAATTTATTTGTTCGCCGCCACCGTCATGCGTGTATATAAATTACACGTGTTTACGTACGCTCGTCCGTCGTTATTATGTCACTAGTGCGAATACGTGTACTGTATAATAATAATAAATTTAAAAAAAACTAGAAAAAAATCCACCCTTCGGATGAACATTTTGCGATGATATCGCCGCCGCCGCATTGTAAAACGTTTGAAACGCGGACAAAAATTAAAACGAATACGTGTGGAGAATGTGTAAAACGTCATGACAAACGGGAAAATGCAAACAGGATAGCAACGGTACCGCGTGGTAATATAATTGAATTATCGCGATCGGTTATGATATACATATTATTGTTATCATTGTAGGATATAATGCGCACATATACGTAGTACAATACATTGTTACGCGTATATCTTTTTTTGGACTTATTCCGGTCAAATCAAGTGAAACCATCTCATGGAATATATGGCTCCCGACTACCAAAGGAAAGAATAGCTGCGTTTCTTACGCACAGTTATATTGAAAATAAGTTAAACATCTAAGAGAGCTAAAAATAGTAATGGTTTTACAACTCTATCAAATCTTTGCATTCAAATCACTGTTCCTTCCCAACATTATAATTTTCCACATTCTCTCCGTGTGTTCGAGTGAAGGGATTTCCGGGTTCAAATTCTCCATGAATTCTATATTTACAGAAACGACTCACAAGTGTCTCGTATTTTCGAATTCAACATTAAACGTGTAGAATACGTACCATACTACTGTAACAATTGACGTTACATTACATTAACGGACCTTAATAGTATAAAGCGTATTGTTTATAAATGTATTATAAGTAACAAGTTCAATGTTTGAGACAAATCATTGAACATTTCTATTTATAAAAGGTGCAATATCATCATACAACTCCTAAACTTTAAGTATATTCGCCCCTTTAGGACCCTTCGATTTCCATTTTTAGTTGTTGGGTACACCTTACGCGTAAGGTAAACACGTATATCACCGTTACAATAATTACATTTCGAAAATGATTGTAGGTTTTCATTGAGCCAACACTTGGCAAATCTGTAGCAACATAAATTATACAGATATAAAAGAAACCGACCGGATGACATAAATCGATAAGTAACAATAACAATAATGATTATTATTACGCATTTGCGGACGACGTGTGATTCACGATAAATGCCAATATCTCTCTGGTCCGTCCGTGAATCTATCTGAATTGCGTGTATTACGGTGGCGTTGCGATAATCGCCGCATTACGGATTTCGGCTTTCAACGGAATGAAAAACAAACGGACGAAAAACCACGCGTGCCAGAAGGGGGATAACGGTACGCGTATAGTAATAATATTAATAATAAAAATATATAATGTTTTGGCGTGTCAAGGGAATAGAAAAATGTCACGCGGGTAGACGACGGTGTGTATTTTCACCAAACCAAGTGCACGATTCTTCTTTGGGGCCTTTATATTATACATATACGCAAACGCTTTACATGGGAGAACACAAGCGTGCCGTCGCATAAGACCTAAAGATTTTCCCCGGACCAATATCGTTATTGCTGCACATACGCATTATTATCCGTCACCGCTCTTCATAGTCACAGTAACAGTACTAGTGGTTAATGATATATTGTTGTATACATTACGTTATGGATATGTATTTTTAACAAAAATAGGGAGTTAAAGTCGATCGCACGCGCGACGTCGAAAAAAAAAATTAATTGGTACGACGGACACGTGTGATACGGTCAGGTGCTTAGCAGATACGATGGTGCCGACAACAACATATCCATTCCGGAATTTATCATATGTATATTGTAAGTATAAATACGTCGTAAACGTTGTGGAACATTAATGTTATTATTTTTATTGTGTTCAATAATCGCATCGAATTATTATTTACAGCGCACAAGGCAGCACAAGTGTGTGCGTGATGACTGATGGTGTCAATGAAATTATTATTCTCGTGGCAAAAGTCGTAAACAAGCTGACAAGATCACTTTGCGGCGGAAGCATTTTTCATCGCGCCAATACCTATGTATAAATATGTATTTGAATATGTACACGCGCGCAAGCGAATGAAATTATTGACTTTACTATCACGTACGAGATATATCTGATTACGTCAGATTTTTATTTTTTTCATTATTATTATTTTTAACATAGCGTAATTATTACTAGAACACAATCCGTACACAATCCGTTGGTAATTATGTGCACGCTTGTTCTATAGCACGAAAATAATTCGCTTATAAGGAGATAATATTTGCACGCACGTAAGACTTTCGATAAGTTTATTGAATTATACTTGAAAAGTATGAGCATACAAACTAATCGAGTTTTCCTAACCTCTCAGATTCGTTATTCGAGGTACTTAATAATTTATCCGGCAGGAGAACACTTAAATTTAATCAAACGCTTAATATTTATAGCAATTAAGAGAGCGCAGCAACAGGAGGTACTCCGGCGGCAGCGTAAGAGAGAGCGAATGT